CTGAGTGTCAAACAAAAGTAGAGCTATTGTTGTGTATCGAAAAAGGGCCTTTACCTCTCAACGTCGCATCGCCCTCCTGCAAACATTGGCTCTTGACTAGTGGTTTGACTCATGTTCATATGTCGGAAAGCATAGCCAGTTTTCGATCGGGCAGGTTCAAAGTTATCTTTACAACAAAGAGTCCCACGCAGTTCTTCAGCTAATTGTAACATCACGATATTGTCATACTGGCAGCATCGCTTAATAATCTTGTACGAGGTCAGGCGAGGCCTCGGGACGGGACTTGGGTGCAACCACCTCATGTCTTCGGGACTAGTATCTGTTCAGATCCCAGCCTCTTCAGGCAAAGCAAAGTGTTTTTTGCTTGAAACTCCATGCATCTGTGATCTTGTCGAATGGAAACTAAGTAGGTAACGATAGGAAGCCGAAAAATGAAGAGTCCTTGCGGTCGCAAGGGTCATAATACTTCCTTCGTGTATTGAAGGGTCACGCACGATCTCGATGTTTTCAGCATAAGCTGTGCTGAAAGGCTTCTTTATATATAATCTTGTTGTGATTAGCGAGATAATGTCAGTACACAGCATGATATCCTTGTATTTTCAAATGGGAAAAGAGAAAATACAAGATATTTTTATTAGGATCCTTTCGCTTTTACGAGTACATAATGTGAAAGGGGGTTTATCGTTGAAGAAGCACAAAATCATTAAAGAACTATTCTCCTGCATGCTCTGTCGTGGATACTTCAGCACGCCGGTGTTACCGGTGCCGAAGTAAAGTACGTCTTGTAGTATACGTTGTTGCCAATATGCTTGGCCACACTGGGAGGGGGATTGAGCGGACCGCCCTGCTGGTTGGCATTAGGGAACAAGATGCTAGGGCTGTTTGGAGAGAGAACGCTGGTTGGGCAACCGAGAACGGTGTTGCCGAAGTAGGGGTCAAGCTTGGAAATAGCCCATGTAGTCGCGGCAGCCACCTGCTCCGTAGTCCCGGCGACGAAGAGTGGCACCAGTGAATTGATACCCTGGTAAACATCACACAGCAGAGTTGTGGCATTCAGATTTCCTGTGCCAAGCTGCGCAACAGCCGGAGTAACAGGGTTGCGGAGGTAGATGAGGAGACCCTCCAGCACTGTCTGAACTGCAGTGTACGGCGTTGCACGACGGTACCAGTTGGCGGGCCATGTTTCCGGTACGTACTGGAATTCCCCCGTGGCGGAGTCGTACTTGGCCCCGATAATAGAGGAGATGGACTCATAATTGGCAACACCTCCTAGTCCATAGGTGCCATTGCTGAAGAACTTGGACGCCAGATGTTAGTAGCTACTAGAGAATTAGAGAGAAGGAAGGAACTGACGTTAGGGTAGAAGGCAAAAGCCCCAAGAGAGACGATCAAGGGGAAAGGGAAGTAGTAGAGGTAAGGGTTGTTTTTCTGAGAGAACATGGACAGTTGTTGGTATTGTGTACCCATGTTGGTCAGATCAAACTGCTTCGTTCCGCTCTTCGCTACGATGTCAACGTTCTGCTTGAACAGACGGGATGAAAGGTGGTGAGCATCGCCACATCCGTTGTAGAAATCTTCTCGGTTAGGTGAAATATCGGCCTAAGAGGGAGGTTAGACATATTTCACGAGCCAGAATTCAACTCATAGTCTCACCTCGACTGTTGAGTGCCTGTTCAATCCGCCAACATTCCCTGGGCCAGATCCCAAGTAGAAAGACTCAGTTGCGATATCTCCGTCCGTGAGGACAGCAAAAACACCGAGGATAGTTGACAAATCAGGACCCATGTTGAACCCGCGAGCAGTGGCTTCAATTACTTGGCCCAGGTTGACGTGGCCGTCACGAGGCAGGTAGCCGTGATTCGCAAGCAGATTCAAACCCGGGCAGGGTCCTCTGCTATCATTGGGGCCAGGTGCAATGAAGTCGTAGCCTGGTTCGGGACGCTTGTTTGCAGGGTTTAATGCCCCTTGAGCCACAGCGCCGAGGAGTCCGGTAATAGTGTTGGTGAGTGAGCCGATGATTCCGCCGAGGATCTGTGGCTCGGGGTTGGCTTCGGGTTCTGCGTTGCGCTTGATCAAAATTTCAAGATCTTCCTTTGTTGCCATAGATGGAAATGCGGCTGCTGAGGCGGCCAGCAAGGCTGGCAATGTACATTGATACCTCATTGCAAATAAGCAGCAAGTAAGTATCCGTGTTATGTGAAGTTGTGAAGAAAAATCAGGCCAAAGAAACAGCTAGAGAATCTCTGGATGACGACGAAGGCTTGAGGTGATGAGAAGACGGTGACTTTTATAACCGATTTATTTGAATGACATAGTCCGTTGGACTACATTTAACAGAGACAAATCTCGGAATGATGACATAGTTCCAAAATAAATGCCCACGACACTTCGTCGACGCACTCTTCCCCGGGAATATTTAGTAGTGGTAGCGACATGGAAACGGCTATGCGGGAAGATTTGATGCCGAGTGTAGCGTATCGGTCCGCGGGAATGGCGTCGTCAACGGCGCTGAAGCGTAACCACTAGACACTATAGTACCGATTGAGCTTGTACTTTCCCCGGATATGTACTCCGCAATAACATGTCTGGGGATCGGGAGGGCACGACAAAAGAACCTGGCCGTGTGCTAAAAACGATTCCAAACTATTACCGACATGCTATTCCTGTCCGCCACGCACGCAGCATCCATGCAGTGGCTGTCCAATATCAGCATTCTCTCAGGTAGTCTTGTCTGAAAAGGGAGTAGTGTTCAGACTATCGCGCGGGACAAAGGACTTCCGTCGGCAACGCTCGTGGTATTGCGCCCTTGTTATGACGTCTAGTTTCGCTATGCTATACGTTCAAGTGCCCAATCACCTCTTCGGAGAACTAATAAGCTCGTCCAGGAGCAGCATAGGTGACAACAAACTTGCGGACGCCGAGTTGATTCGCGCTTATTTCCATAGTTTAGTATCAAAAGATCGTCATGGACGAGTCGATGCTAAACCTCGGCACAGTCCGTGGAACGAACATGGCTCAGATCTAGGCATGCAGCTTTGCAGATCCCCTATTAACTCTGTCTTAGCTCAAGTTCTTTCCGTGCCCTCATTGACAAATTCGTCACGTTTGATTGGTGAATTGTGCTTGCCAGCTTTGATCATCGGGAACGATGTTGTTGTTGGAGTAACACCTGGTCATGCTTTTTCCAATAAACTGTCTCATCCCTTTGAACAGTGTCATAGAACCAACCGGGCTAGGGGGGCTCATCGTCCCCTTCGCTCAAACTTCCCTCACCTCCTACGGCCGGTTTTCCCAGTCTGAACTCCCGTACATCTATAATTCCTATTATTGCACCCGGGTGCTACTTCTAAGCCATGACTCTATGTTTGAGACCAAACTTGCAGCCTTTTGTCTCTCGTCTTCTTTCGGTTCGGCTGCATTCGTGCTAGACCCTCCATTGGCACAAGTAATGATTGATTGAAAAAGAAATAGAACAGGGAAGAGAAATAAATAAAAGGAAGCTAAGTCGAGGCATCAAGGCGTTTCCCAGACGGGCCGAATCGCAGAGAGTAGCGCTAGTGCACAGGATGGGGACACGAGTGCATGAAGTTACAGGCCTCTCTGGATCGTATTCGGAAGATGCCAAAAGGCTCCATCCGTGTGCCCTGTTCACCTTTCCCTCAGATGTTGCGCAAGCGCACCTGCGGCCCACGCCGTGCTACGACGCACATCAACATGGTCAACCAGAGAAACAAGCTCATCTGAAGGCGCCAAGACCCACGCATCCCAGCTATTATTCCTTCTTCTTGTTCTTCCCAGGGAATACCGACAGCTTTTCTCAAACTGGGTGAATGCTGGTAGATCAACTCATCCGACGGCCCGAGCCGCAACTCTCTGAACAGGAATGTGTGATTAGGATAAGATGCTATGGCGATCTGTGCTGAGTGATGCTTCAGCCTGTGATCATTTTGCGTGTCAGATTCTGAGGACTCTCGCGGAACATGCATATGAGAGTCAAGATACAGTCTCAGAAAAAAAAAGCAGCCTTTTCTTAGACATGCCGTTGCCTCATAGGAAGGTCGACTAGCATTTTCTGGAGGACCCAGGGGTGTTCATCTCCCTTGCTCCCTGCTCTTCAATCAAGTCGGCTTGTTTACGACATGGGATAATCCCAAATTTTGGAAATTTGTTCGGCCGAATGGATCTCTCATTCTGTATGGTTCCATGTCCACACGAGCACATGAGCCAGAATGCAATGACACGTATATCCATTAACGCATTAAACCCTGATTTTGTCGATTCTACATGCCACAAACGGAAAGATCTTGGCAGCACGAATGTTGCAGAGTCAATGGCAGCATGACCAAGCGTCATCTCACAGATGGTCTGCTTGAAATTGCGCATGTTTTGAGTCACAAAGCTTGTCCTTTTCCTCCCTTCGTGTGTCTACATCCCACATCCTCGACAGCTTTAGGCGTGGTCTAACGCTCCATCTCCTTTGAGGATCTCACATCCACCACGATGTCCACTTCGCTCTTCAGCAGGACGACATCTGGGACTCTTCAATCATCTCAAACTTCCCCGAAGCGTCTGTCACTCTCACAGTCAGCAACAGCAACGAACCCATTGACGGCCTCGAGGGACATCTTCGTGCAGCAAAACTTTCCCGAACGAACAGGCTTGACAACTTTGCGAGCGTAGTTTACCAAGGATCAGAGTTTATTAGCATCCTGTATCCTCTTCATTTCGCCGGGTACCCTGGCGACCATCCATAGACACCTACGATGAATACGTCCTCCAAATCTTTACGTGCCAAGTATGAATAGGAAGCTTCAGTGCGGAAACGACGTTTATTTCGTCTACATCGTACATTGAGCACCAATAGAGCAGCGCGAGACACCATTGATGAGAACTTCCATGAAGCCTACGTATGAAAACGGAACAGTTGCTCATCATGGCTAATTGCCAATCAGACATAAATAAGGATACATATGAACAACCCGACGGTTCTCATTCCCCACCTAAAACAACTGTGAAGAGTTTTGGCAAGGTGAACACACCAAGCACGCGCACAACGTCCTCAAAAATCACCCCTCACGTACCTCATAAACAAAAATTCTACTCTTGCCCTCTTCCGGCGCAAAATACAGCCTCACTCGTCCCCCAACGACAGCAACATCCATCGGGTTCTTCGTCATCAACACGCTCTTCCTCCTCATGCTCGCTTCTATGTGGTCCTCATCCCCCGTCCACGGCATAACCCCTGTTCTTTCCATGAACGGCACCTCCCACAGAGGAACCATCCCTTCCACTTCAACAATCGCCAACCCACCCACCTCCAACCCCGGCGCCAGCATCGCGATGCCGGAACAAAGCATCAGATGCCTCCCGTCGACGATGCCGAGAGATTTACAGTCTTGGTAATCGATCCAGTGTGAAGGATTCACGATTGTTGTCTGAGGTCCGTCGACTTCCCCATTGTAATCCACTTCACCCCGTTTGCCAAGTTGAGCCTGTTTCCCCTTTCCTATCCCACCGCCAGTTTCGCCCTCCCATGTCATCCCGGCCTGGCTGATATCCCATCTCCTCGCAACTCTCCCACCCCACCCCAATGTCGTCAACGTCCCATTGTGGACATCATGCACGATCCCACCCTGGTGATCCGCCACCTGGAAGACCCTCTCCATTTCCACGCTGACCGGATCAACCCTCACCACTGTTGCCGTCGAATTCGGTCGGTACTGCGAGAGCGTAGCCCAAATATGTCGCCCATCAAAATCAATCCCTCCGTTATGATACTACATCCTTCGTTAGCCATCCGTCTAACTTCAAGGGGGCTGCAAAGTGACACAGGCCCCTAAAGAAGAGAGAACTGGGGTGAAAAGAATATCTGAGTCGAGATTTACCTCCAAGTCCCCTTCCTCGGAAACAACCCAGTCCCCAACACGTCTTCCGCGCCCGTCAAACACCACGAAATGCGCAAAGCCCGCCCCGGCACTCCGATCCGTCCCATCAATCCATTTTCCGTCAGGATACTTCTCCGTCGGGACGGTATACTCCCCTGCCGAAACCCAGAACCTTTCCTCATCACCATTCTCCTCCTCATCAACGTCCACTGGATCCCGTTCTCTGTCATTCCCCTCCATACCATTACCCGCAAGCCTCACAATTCCCTCCGGCTCCCATAACTCCCCCTCAAGCTCAATAACCTTGACAAGATCCAGTCTCGCACCCTGGTCACCACTCATACTCGACCGAGACAACCCCGTCAACTGCTTCACAATCTCCGCGCCATCCCGCGTAGCCCCAGGCCCAGGAAGTGGTACGGGCGCTAGCGGGACATTGGGCGTCGGCCTCGTGAGATTCTTCCACTTCATTGTTCCTTCTACGACGCTGTTGCTGGCCAAAAACAATAAGAGGAAAGGGTGCGGCGCCCGGACCCTCATCACGGTTACTCCGTGAACACGGTCTCTGTCCAAGGGCGCGAGGCTCGAGGGAATGCGAAAATTGTACAATCTGCTGCAGGTTTTGGGGAGAATGTAACCACAGAAGGGGCAAGCTGCGTTGAAATGATGCAAATTTGAAAAGGTCAAGTGCTGTGGATGAAGCAAGATGAAGCAATCCCTGGCCCAGCCGGAGATGTCGGAAGAAATCATGTCGATCAGGGCCCGCCCCGCACTCTCCGCCTCGGCCCGTGTTGTCCTCGGTTGCCTGTCCCGGACGCATTGGAGGTACACAGGTCGAGAGCCCCAGCACTGCATCGAATGACATGACGCAGATCCCAGTGCCGTATTAGGGCTTTCTTATATTCGATGCAAGTTGCCTGAGTGTCGAAATCCTTGATTTGATGCGCTTGCCAATCGAGAGGGGGCGGGGGGGGTGAAGGCGAGATCATGAAGATGATTCTCAGCTTGTCAAAGACGTGCGAGAACATTATGGAGAATCTGGGG